TCCTTCAACCTTGGGTTATGCAGGTAATTATTTCCACTTGCAATTGTGTTTTAGCATTGGGAAGACACAGCTCAGGGAGCAATAATCCTGAAATGCTGAAGTTCTGTATTACTGGGTCCTCAGCTGTGAAAGCACTAGATGGGATCCAATAACTTTCTAGGATTAGTGTGTGTAAAGACAGAGCTTTTCTGTAATTGTATTTATCCGATCGCTTATCAGAAATGTTGTACAAGCAATCAACTGCCTTGCTGTACGTTTAGCACTCATGCTTGTTTGCAGTGATAATTTAGTACTCAGAACCGTGTGAAAGTATTTCTTTGTGGGCTTCCTGGATACACGCACTGCCGCAGCTTTCTTATGAATGAGAGCACACAGGAGTCTTTGCCTCCTTTGTTTAAAATACTGCTTCATCCTTCAAAGCATCATTGGGCTTCAAAACCAAATCCATTTTTCCTAATTGTCAGGGGGAACAGTGGGTTCCCATAAGCACAAAAGGAGCTACTGAAGAGAAGAAAAGGAAGATGAACGACATTCTAAATGACAGATCTAAAGATACTAGGAAATCGCCCCAACAGGGAACAGGGAACTTACCAAGAAGCTTCTGGCAGTAATTACCCTGCAAACGTGTGAGTATCTGGGTCAGAAAGCCTCTTCTCAGTTTCTATGGGCGGGTTCTAGCCTGCTGTGAAATTTTGATCCTGTTAGTAGGCCAGGTCCTGAGATAAGTGCCTGTTTGCTGTCACCAGAGAAATGGAGGCACACGTTACAGCAAAGGTAACAGGATGTGCTCCTTGGCTTGCTTCCCTACAAATGCCTAAAATCCCTACAGCTCCCTGGGAAAACCATGGCATTGCTGTATGTCACCAGAGAAAAGGCTGTTGACTCATTCATCTATGATTGTACAATATTTTTTAAAGGAAAGGACCACCCATTCCAGTGGTCAAAGATGTATAGTGGCTAACAAGATGCTCAAGCATCTGCGTAGCAATGCACAAGGCCCTGGGTTCAATCTCTAGCACAGGAAAAACAAAAAATTTAATTTTAAAGTCAAAGAGACTCTTCCAGGAAGATCCATAGAAGGGGAATAGCTGCCACATGCCAAATTTCTAGTTTTAGGTTTCTGAGGAATCTCCATACTGATTTCCACAGTGCTTCTACCAATTTACATTCCCACCAACAATGTAGAAGAGTTCCTTTTGCACACAGTCTTGCCAGCATGCATTATTATTTGATTTCTTGGAGATGGCCATTCTTTCTGGGATAAGACAGAATCTCAGATATCATCCTGAAAGAGTTAAAGACATCAAATAACAGGGATACATGCATAGCTATATTTATAGCAGCACAATTCCTAATAGCTACATCTTGGAAGTAGCCTATACGTCCATCAACAGGTGAATGGATAACGAAAGTGTGGTATCTACCCACAGTGGCGTACAACCCTACCATAAAGAAGCATAAACACGGCCCAGGGATATAGCTCAGTGGTATAAGCCCTTGCCTGGCAAGGCTGAGGTCATGAGTTCAATTCCTGGTACCAAAAAAAAAAAAAAAAAAGCATAAACTTGAGCTATCTGTACAAAAATGGGTACACCTTGAGACCATAATGTTGAGGGAAATAAATCCGACTCACAAACTTAAACATCATGTGGTTTCTCATATATGAGAAACCCAAGTTATACATAAAAAGCAAAATAAAAGATATATACTAGGAAGTGGGGAGATAGAGCTTTCTCAGAGAGAAGAGGGTTGTGTGCTAGAGGCGGGAGGGAGAGAAAATGAGGGAAAGGGGATGGAAAAAGGAATGAGGATGTGTTATGTCCACACACAGTGAATGTCATCATTATATACTGCAAACATAGACTAATAGAAAAACAAAAAAGGGAATAAGATTCAAGATTCAAAGAGAATAAGATTCTTTTGTGCCCTAGGGTTGCATTAAGAAAAGACTGAAGGAAACAGGCACGTGGAATATGCACATGCAATGATGCATGGAAGGGGCAAGGTGCAAAATCTCAGGGAAAATGAAAATGCATTCCGTGAGTCAACGGATGCCGCAGTAGGCATTGAGAACCTACACAGTCAGTGCCTAGCACTTATGAAAACAACGTATTGAGACTTAACTACAAGTTTGCTAGAACAGATAAAGTACATGCCCCCGAGGACCATCAGTACTCTAGGGTGGGTTTCCAGAGATCTCCCAAGAAAAGAGGCAATCCTCAGTGTTTAAGTGCTGAAAATTGTGCATTTCGGGCTTCTGAGGACCGTAAAATTGATTTAGAGAATGGCTTGAAAGGGTAAAAAGAGTAATGCAGGACGATTAAAGGCGTGCAATTAAATCAGTTTGTTTCTAACTGCCTTCTAGTAATTAAGAGTTCATGCTTGGCAAAACCCCATAAAAGCAGATTTAAGATGGAAGAAAGTGTAAATGAATTAGTAGAAACCCATCCACAAGTCCTCCGAGTGATAGGACAATTATTCAAAAAGTGCAAGCCCTGGGACCGGGATACTAAGATTTAAAAAGTATTCGTCACGTGGTTATTTGGGATTTTTGTTGTTAGTTGTTGGGCTGTTTGTTTTACTTCTTTGCTGGTGCTCAGTAGTATTTGAACAATTTAAGTTCCTAGAGTAGATATATGTAGTATATACACAGATGGCTAAATGCTCAGAGAGGTATGGCCTTGTAGGTACAGACAGAAGAAAGAGAGAGACAAAGGAAGAGAGAAAGACGGAGACAGAGACAGAAACAGACATGAGATGGGAGGGACAGAGACCATGTATGACAGACAGCCCGATCCTTTCTTTAGGTGGGAGATGGGGTTTGATGGACAGACAGGGAGGGTGAGCCTCAGCAGACAGAGAAGAAAACTCACCTAATTTCAACAGCTCCTCGGCTTCTCCATGTCCACTAAATATTGGCCTAGGAGGATCGCATGTTCCAGTGGACAGCAGACCTCTATCCATCCAGGCCTGTAAGGGTGCTGCCTGTTTTGGAAATGCTTCTTCTCCCAGCATGTGGCCTGCTTCAACCTGACAGCCTGCTTCCTTCCGTTCTGGGGATGCAGGATATGGCTAACTCATGCACGCCACAGGCTTCATGTCAAAACCACAGCCACACAGGCATACTTCAGTGGTGGGCCTGCATTTTCAACACTTGATCCCACAGGGACTGATACATTCTTTCAAGGCAATGACTTCTCTCTACAAAATGATTCCTCACCACCTGAGTGCATTCTTCCTAGTGATGTGGCCAACTGCCAAAGAAATGCCTATTTCTTGACATGACGTAGTAACTCGCATATTAAAAATAATGTAAATTAAAGCAATACTAAGACTCCAACTTATTTCAGGAGGAATAAATATCATCAAGAACCCAAGAAACAATGAATGCTGTTATGAATGTAAATTAGGACAATCATTGTGGAAATAAGTGTGGAGATTCCTCCAAAAACTAAAGATAGAAATTCCATTTGACTCAGCTATACCCCTTCTGGATAGCTTCCCCAAAGAGTTAAAGCCATGACATTACACTGATCCACGTGCACCAAATGTTTATAGCATCATAACTCACAATAGCTAAATCCTGGAAGCATCCTATAAATATCCATCAACACATGAATGGATAAAGAAAATGGGGTGAATATAAATACAGAGTAAGTATTACTCAGCCACAAAAAAGCATAAATTTGAGTCATCTGTAGGAAAATGGATACACTTTGAGAATGTACTGCTAAGTGAAATAAATTAGACACAAGTTAAATATCATAGGGTTTTTCTCATATCAAAAACCAAAAATATAATTAACTTAAAGAGCAGAATAAAAGGGAAATGACGGAAAACAGAGAGGTAGACTCTTTGGAGGTGGGAAGGGGATCTGGAGGTTGTAGGAGAGGAGAGGGTGGGGGAGAGAAAAAGGGAAAAAATGAGTAAGATACAATGCGCATTTGTACCAAGTCCCCAAGAAGACTGTAATTATTATGCTTTGCAAACACAGACCAATAACAAAGAAACCCAAAAGAGCACATATTGCAAACAGTAATAATGGATGGATGCAAAGTCCTGATAGATTTTTTTTAGAAAGGATTTAATTAGAAGCCTCCCTCTAAAGCTGTCTGAAAGCTATTTTGTGTTACACACTTTTAGGCATTTTATTCAAACCAGTTTTCTTTCTGTAAAAACTTAACGGTGTCATTAAATCCACATTGATACAGGGACTCCATTTTCCTCTTGCTTGGTGGGAAGAGGGATTGGTTCAGCCTCACTAGGTTTGCCAGGGACAACTGCAAGACAAGGGTAGAACTGAAGCTGTAGAATATCACAATACAGGTAAAGAGATGCTATGCATATACAGCTGTGCATATACACTAAGCTTTCTTTTCACAGATACAATTAGTAAGAACCGAAAGTCAGCAGCAAAAAAATTACAAAGAGAAATCCACACGACTTCTGGGTCCTAAAGCGCATTGAGCAGTATCCCCGGCCTCAGCCCATGGGATACCCATAGTGATGCCCAGGTGTGACAACTCAAAATGACCCTCAATACTGCCAGCTATTTCTGGGGTATGCCATTGCCCCATGTTGACCTCTACTAGATTAGAAGAAGGGAATCTATGTTTTTATGCCAACTGTTCATTTGGGTCCCTAGTTCTCTCTACAGTATGTTTATATATTTCATTATTTCCATCTTTCCAAATAAATACATGACTTAAGTTGTTCTGACGTTCCACTGAGTTTACAGATGTGAAAAAGACAAGATGGAAAAGAAAACACGATACAAATTGAGAGCTGATCACCGAAAAGAGCCTGCATCCTGACAACAAATAGGAACCAAGTCCACACGCATAATCTGTGTTGCACAGTACTGGGAAACATGATACTGAGAAATGCAACTTGTACATAAAATTACCAAAAGCTTCTGATGCATAGGATGCATATTGAATTCTGCGGAGACTTTCAGGGGGATGAGAACTGTGCAGATGTCACCAAATGTCACTGCTCACCATTATATCCTGATTGGTGATGTTCATGTACAAGTCCAGCTGCCCTTTGTCTTGTGGGGAGATGTCCAGTCGTCCGCAGAAGGGAGAGATGGTCACTGTGCGGCCCACAGGCAAGATGGGAAGGCTGTTGGTGAGGCCTCCGTCCACCCACTTCTGCGGAAAGGAAGGTCCCACATCAGACAAGCCCACAGCACAAGTCCCAAGTGAAAGGAATGCAGTGGCTTTGTCAACAAGAATGCTCCCCCCCTTTGTCAAGATGCATGCTTGGGTGTCCTTAAATTACCATTTCTGTGGGCCCATCCTACTGGGGAGATACTTTGGGAGCCAAACAAGTCTTTCTGTACCTATCACTCACCAATATAATATGAACTCTGGACAGAATCAGGAGATCCCTCCAAAAGTTGAAAAGCTAGATTATGTCACGTAAGATGGACCTGAATTTGTACCGTACACAGGACGTATCCCAGAAGCCCTGTGATATTAGAGCAGGACTTATGTAATGCAAGTAGAAAGACAGTCAAGTTTCCTGTCAAATCTAAACAAAACACCCACTACCAGAGGAGGTCCTTTTTTTATAACAACCAGAAATTGTCATTTTCCACAGCAAATTTAAAAATGAGTAGAACAACCAAAATTTGCAAAGTGGCTCCCATGTACATGAACCAGGTGTTTTGCTCTAAAGCCATAAAGAAAGGGAGGTGCTGGGTGAAGAACAAGCTTTTCTCAGAAGGGGTTCAGGGCTCTCCACTCACCCACCAAGGACGGTGATGGTTGGGGGAGGGAAGGGAAGAAGAAGGAAAAGAAAGAGGTCCCAGGGTAAGAGGAAGGGAGACGGGATACTCAAGGGGAAGACGCCCTTGGTCACTTCACCTAAGTAACTGTACTGTGAAAAATAGGGATAGGAAGAAACATAAAGACAATGCTCTCATGTGAAACACTCCAAGCACAAGGGGTCTCAGTGCATCCATGAACCCACACACTTCCACCATCAGCTGTTGCTGTAAACACCAAGACAAGAGAACTGGAGCCCAAATCCTCCAACCCAGATCCTCCATTAGCATTCTGCCTCAGGTGATACGTTAAGCAAACAAAAGAAAGGTCTGGTGTTGGCTGGGAATCCCTCACAGAGTCTGTGCCAGGGAAGTCTGCAGAAAGAGTTTTGTTTGAACATGTGAAAGTACAATTTTAAAATGGCTATTTTTAAAAACTGTGTTTTTTAAATTTTTATTTTATTTTAAAGATAAAAGAATGAGAACATCTTAACAAGCACATGTACATTTAGAGAATAACACAAAAAAAATACAAGCAATACAGAATCTCAGACAAGATGATAGGAAAGTAACAATGGTTGTTGTATTACATATTGATAGCTTCAATTTGGATACCCAGATAAACAAAGATAGACAAGTAAGATTGATCATACACTTAAACACTAACTGTTCATTTCAGTAGAGTAATAAAAGTCAGTAGTACCTAGTTTCATTCATTTTTATTTTAATAAAATTGCACAAAGTTGGAGTGAAGAAGGAAAAACAGGTCAGTGTAAGACATTCTTAACTCAGTGAAAACAATTACTCACTTTTTTCTTCTTTTATTTCCTTCTTTCTTGTTGCTACTTGTAACACTGGTAAGGACATGACTGGTAATACATTATCTGCAAAGGCCTTGACCAGACACCGCTCCTCTAAGGAGAATGAAAGTCATTCAAAAAATAGGTAGAAAATTTCTCTTGACAGAATTAAATTTTGGTAGAGGAAAAAGCATACATAGATTTGATTAAAATGAAACTGACCTAGACAATTTGTATATGATCATTATTTTTAAAATAACATAATACACATGGTAATGATGTTATATAGACCTACCAATAGGTGTATGTGTACATACATCATGTGTGTATGTAAGCACGTGCATGTGCACATGTATATATGTATATAGCATATACCTATGTGTACTACAGTTCTGCCAGAGGTTGTGTTATTTTACATATATTTTACATGTATGCATTACTTCACATATATATTATATAGAGAGAGGGAGAGAGAGCACAGATTATGTGAATACAATCTATGTAAAGGAAGTTTGCCCCCAAAATTTAAAAAGCTCCATAGTACCTAATTTTATCCCAGAGCCTGCTTCCCTACCCGCCAATTTAGATACGAACACCAAATTCTAGACTAGGCTCATGCCTAGCAAAAAGAAAGAAAAGACACCTTCCAAAATTATCTCTTTTCATACTGAACAGAACCTGTCACCAAGGATGTAAAAATTCCCGTCTGTTTCATCAAGGAGAATTCAAGATAGGTCATACGACCTTAAGTAAGAGCTCATCTGACTTGTTCAGTTTAATGAAAAGAGGGGCAATCTGGCTCATTAAATTGAAAAGTGTTCTAATTTACTGTGGGGTTAATGACTGCTGTTGGAAGGAATTGAAAATCCTTTTTCCCAAATTCTGTTATCTCTCGTTAGCTTATTCTGATTGGATAAATGAGTCGGAGAAAACACACAGCTTAGCAAATGTCTTGATTACACTTGCAGTGATACCAGCTTCTCTGTAACCGACAACGCCGTCACCCCATCAGCGCTGCTATTCTCCGGATCGCACATCTCATTCCTAATTTACGCTTTCATGAGCTATTTCATTCAGCACAAGCACACGTTCATTCAGGCATGCTGACGCTAGTGACATTTCTGGGAATAATCAGAGCAACAAATATTCTTCAACCTCCAATTAAAACTGGAAGCATTTTACACCACGTGTTCTGCTGATAGTCTAAAACTCACACACGTTAAGTATTTCAGTCCATAAACTCTCTGGCCATTTGCCCCACAGTCGTGCAAGTTATTCCCACTTTCTGGCTTCATGGGTGGCATCCTACATGGCGGTAGCCACTGCCATGAGCTTCTGAATGATTCCAAACTTGTCCTTATGAAAACAACTCCGGGTCTTCTCTTTGAGAGTTGTACTGTGTATTTATTGGCTTTTATCACACAGAACTACATCCTCAAAGACAGAGGAGGGCAAGTACATGTGTTTCAAAATCAAACTCTGGGGGCTGGGGATTTAGCTCAGCGGCAAAGCGCCTGCCTGGCAAGCGCAAGGTCGTGAGTTCGGTTCCCGGTATCGGAGAAAAACCAAAAAAAACAAACAAAACAAAATCAAACTCTGCTTTGCCCGCTGTTACAGCGGCTTGATACCAGTGGTCATCCAGCTATCTCTATCCAACCTCTGGCACTATTGTAAGTACGTTTCACATGCCAGCCTGACTCCTCAGGGATATAAATAAACAACTGTTTGATAGAAAAGGAAACTCATGCCCAGCTCTGGGGCAGCATTTAGCAAGAGGGTTTTCTAAGGTTACAGAACTGCAAACCAGAATAAATGGAATCACTCACAAAGATACGATCAGACCTGCTGCATACCAACAGGCTACATTCTTGATCTGTTAGTAGCTGTTAATTTTTGCTTTACATGCTAGTATGGCATAGGTAACAATTAAGAATGTGCTTTATGAATTCAAGCAATGTTACCACATAATTTAAATGGAAAACTTACACTATACTGAGGCATAGGACCTAATGTTTATAAATTGGTTATAACTGATTTCCCATATATGATTAGTTGAATCTTTATAAGATCCCCTGAAACTGCAATGCTGGCGCTCTGAGAGGCTGAGTCAAGAGGATCACAACTTTGAGCTTAGGGTGAAGATATAGCTCAGCACAAGGCCTTGAATTAAATGTCTAGGTGTGCAAAACCAAACAAAAACTAAAAGAACAAACTCCATAAGGTAGGAAGGACATCCAGTCTTAGTCTCTTTTTCTGAGGTTTCAGTTACCCAAGATCTAACAAGTTGTAAAAATATTAAATGGAAATACTCTAGAAATAAAACAATTCATAATCTTTAAATTGTACACCATTTTGAGTAATGTGATGAAAACTTGAGCTGTCCAATTCCATTTTTCCCAGGATACAAAACATCTATTTTCTATGGTATCCAGGTGGTATATGCTACCCTCCTAGTGGTAATCACTTGGTAGCTATCTCAGGAGATCAAATGACTTTGGTAGTGTCTCAGTGTTTGTGTTCAAGCAAACCTTATTTTACTTAATAGTGGAGTCAAGTGTAGCAGTACACACGCATAATCCCAGCATTTGAGAAGCTGAGGGAGGAGGATCATAAATCTAAGGTCAGCCTGTGGCATAAAACACAGAAAGGCAGATTAACTCTGACATGATGGGGCAAATAGGAAAACAATAAAAATAGAGTTTGGTAATATACACAAGTTCAGGTACCTTCTGAGGACTTTTGAATGAATCTCCAATGAACAAGGGAAAGCGGTATATCAGTTCCCTGATTTTACAAAGGGAAAATAGCATGTAGGTCTACTTGCTTTAGGTCAGGGGTTGGTAAGCTATGCCTCACTTTCTGTCTCAGCAAATAGTTTTATTGGCACACAGCCATGTCCTTTAGTTTACAGATTGTTAATGGCTTTCTTCCCACTATAATAGCATGCATGGTTGAGTAGGTGGAAGGACAGAGATTACATACCACAATGCCAAAGGTATTTACTGCAGGATGCATTTCAGAAAAATTTCAGAAAACAAAACATCTGTTGGTGTAGAGCATACACGCAAAAGTGGGTAGAACTGGTCTTTTCACCACAATTCAAATTCTTTTTCACACATCATAAAATACCGTGATTCCCAGTAGGGCAGGGAAATCAGCACTGATTTCTGAGCGGTGAGGAAGAAATTTAAATAAGGAGAAATACATGGGGCTTAGAAATAATTTTACATTGCAAATCTGTCTTCTTTGCTTCCATGAAATAGGCTACAAATAGTCATGCGAAGCAGAATGGCATTGCTTAGCTATTCTTAAAATGGAGAGAGGAAGCGGGGAAGGAAAGACAGGACAGAGAGGGAAACAGAGATGAAGAATGACAGACGGACAGAGACAGAGAGACAGAGAAAGAGAAAAATAGGGAGAGAGAGAGAGAGAGGAGAGAGATGGAGAGAGACAGAGAGAAAAAGAGAGAAACAAAGAGACAGAGAGGGGCTGGGGATTTAGCTCAGCGGCAAAAGTGCCTTCCTGGCAAACGGAAGGTCGTGAGTTCCGTTCCCGGTACCGGAGAAAAACCAAAAAACAAAAA